CATGAGGTGCGACATGAACAATTTCACTCTATCAATTCATTTAAAACGAATTTTCTAAGACCTTATTCTTCTACTCAGCCACTCGCTAGTATTTCTTCCCAATTTCCACAACTTCTTGAAGCATTTTATGCACAAACACACAGCGCATAGTCATCGCATAGACAATGAACTAATTTCAAACATGTCGTATATGGAATGGAATGGCGTTGTGTCCATTTCCCCAGATATGCAAGATTTGTATCAAAATATATATTTTGGTAGAATATATTGAGAGGCTCGTGTTTGTAGACAATTTAAAAAAAATGTCGTGTTCCCCTTAAAGTAGAATGTTGCTCATATTGATATGGTACATCATGTGTATTTTATTCAGGGACATGAGGAGTAATGATCTATCTGAAGACACTTGGGATGCAAGTGCATTTAAGGACATTCCAAATCTGGATTGGTTGTAAGTAAACAAAACTTCTATTGTATCTTTTATACCAGTTTTGAAACACCTGACGCGGTCAACATTGGCGGGTATTGTTGTAGATAATGTCTTAAGACATCGATTTACAGCTGAAAATTTCCTTTTTTTCTCTGTAATTATTTTGTGTGAAATAGGCACTTGGAAAATAACAACTTCAAGTCAATCACGTCCACGATGTTTAAAGGTTACCAATTTTCAAATATCCGCGTTCTGTGAGTATATTTCTTGTACTCCTTTCTGTGTGCATATATACAGTAACACATGCGTTCGCTCATTTCATCTGTTTGCATGCGTGTATAAAGGCAGTTAGAATAGCTTTGTCTTCGAATTATGTAATTAGATCTTGTCGAAATAATTTTGAGCAAACTATATAGTATCCATAAAATCGTAAAAAGCAAGAGCGCAAAATGTACACTTTTGCAGGGGTGGTGAGGGGTTGATGATTCTTCCGCCCTGATGTGTCTGTCGAACTTCTTCTTCGTATAGCGTCGATCAGTGAGCTTGTCTCAATCTATTTGTTGTACAGTCATCACGTCACGGTTGGTTAGAGGTAATGTTACTCGGGAGGGCAAGCTGGAGCATGCAGAGAATCACATTGGCATATTTGCATATTGACAAATTCGTCTAAACCTATATGCTCAATCGCAACTAGAATAATTATATTGTCATTACGAAACAAATGAAAACATACAACTTTTACCATAATCGTTTCTCATAATTGATGCTCTATTTCATAATTATTTTATATACGTGGGCCCCTTTCCCTCCCACACGTGGCCCATACGGTATCAACTCGTTTGGGACTACTCACAAGATGCAATTATTTATGAATCTCTCGTGGGGCTAAGATGTCAAATACCCTGTATACAAACATTCAATTAATATGTAAATTTATATATTGTAGCTATTTGACCTAATTGCCTTACCATCGGAAGCATTCATCGTCTCCATCCATTTATTCATATTTGCAGGAAAAAATCTGCTACATCAATCACATGTTCACTTCATTTGGTCGTTATAGTAATATTACATAGCATATGATCTATATGTTGTAAACTCACCAAAGTATTCATCAACAGATTTCTGCGGGAAAACATGCTAGTTAAAATCGATGAAGATGCATTCGAAGACGTCAGGAGTTTAGAACACCTGTAAGTATACACATAGAAATGACGTCAGTGCGATATGACTATTCTCCTGGGCTTTTATCGATTTATTCAATCACTACAGCTTCCTCTTCCTGACTTTATAATAATTAGGAATAATTGATTATTCAATGCAATACGCCGTAATATACAGAGTAGAGTTTAGGAAACTGCCTCATTCAACCTTAAAACGGGAGGGTCGTCACCTGCGCACGAGCGGGAATTGAGCTCCAAGCGATGATAACAACACGCGCTAAGAATGCAAAGGCTCATGGGTAGACGTTTGTTTGCTATGGCCATTTGGTGCATGCGTAGGTGACGACTCACCGCTTTAATAAAATGGTTGTCATTGGCGTTACGTAAAGTTTATCGACAGAAATTCTGAAATAAACGTGATGCCAATTGTTGGTAGGTTCAATGGTGTGATATGAAAAGTAATATAATTCTACTGTGTCGATAGAATCGCAATATCTGAATATATAACAACTTTAAGGACACCAAATGTACCAGAAATTACTAAAATGTCATCACAGAATCTAAAGACAGACACAAGAAGAGCTATAGACCCACAGCCAACATTTAGCATAGATATCTGAAATGCATAAGCACACTAAAGCAATCATTATTTGATGTAGGTTTTTAGACAGCGTGATATTCGGTCCGATTACGTCAGCCAATTGAAGCCTCGTTCGCAGTATTTTCATGGAACGCACGGTCGCCGTCTCGTGCAGACATAGTGAATCCCGTATTTACACAGTAATGTCTGCCATCTGGTAGGTTTAGTAATTTAAAGAAAATGTTGGATATAAATTGTTTTATTAATCAAAATGTCGTCGATTTACATAATAGAACACGTACGTGCAAAACATTGGAAAAAACATCTGTCAATTCTCTAATGTGTTTCATTAAATTTTTAAATCTGATCACAGAGAGCAAGTTCGGAAATGTTGATGTCAGAACAATTGTAATAATTAGATTGAAAAACCATTGCATTATTTCAGTTGAAGAGATTTTTGAGAAGCGTTATTGTTCGAGTAATTACATAAACAGATGGTACTTCGAATTCCCTAGTATTCACATCGCTGTTTAATCAGTCAGCTAAAACACGAAATAGAATTAATTAAAAGGTTAATATACTTTCTAACAGCACACGTTTTAACATCGTTCTCGTGTGTAGATTCCCACAGAAAAGAATTCTAACAAATGTCATGATTAGCTAGTGCGCAAAGCACCTTTCATGTAATGCTACCCGTTGGCAGGGACGGACTGATAACCTGTGCGTTCTGGAAAGATCTAGAATGGCCGTCCGGTCCACGGCCGTTGTAATATGGCTTTAAAAAGACAATGTCTAGATGTTCATTTTTATTTAGAAGGGATGTTTAGTCGTTTTTGAATATTAATGTTCTTGAGTTCGTGAATAAACAATCATAAATAGTTCATCTGTGTGGGTTCAGTTATGACAGACAATATACCACGATAGCACTACTTCCCCTCCGCAGGGTTTTTTGCTTGCTGGGCATATTGGTGGGAAAGTACAGGGTATTTGTTGGTTCCAGTCCGTTCCTGACCGTTGACATAGTCTATATCATTGCAACACTGCCAACAAACTTTGATAGGGGTTAGTTGGTTGTACTTGTATAGATAAACTAATGTATTGTAACATCTACCAAGGTGAATTCTCGGAAACACAACGAGATGAGACTGTCTAATGGTTGATGGGGAGAATAAAAACTTACTAGTTGTCAGTCTGGTAAACCAAAACTATTGAGTTGCTTCTGTTGAATATAAATCATGTCAAATGATGTGCTGTGTATTTTATTCGCACAGAGGGCGAAAGCACACTTTTCGTTTGGCAATTAGTGGTCTGACATTTCTGTGTACATACCGCACGACTCATCGCATTTTGTCAACGTGGTTACATGCGACGTATTGAGTGACATTGGAACGCCAGCGTGTCGATCCTAGTCTATGAAGCAATAAATTTAAAAAAAAAACATTTACAGTAATTGTCATAATCACACGAGACCTGATGATTCATATTATTTTTTGCAGTGATCTATCAAACAACTTGATATCGTCGTTGGCGCCCAATACTTTCATAAAATTGGCAAATCTTAGCAGGCTGTAAGTATTATAGTTGTCAAATAACACACCTATTGTTATCGATCGCAATATTAAAATGTTTAATTTATGGCTATGGTCGCCCGCCAATAAAAAAAATGACCGTCTTTTAAAATGTTGTTACAGTGTACGTAAAAATCAGTTGTACATTTCAACATTGTTTACACTAATTTACGTCCTGTCGACGTCAAAGAAAAGATTCTTCGCCAGATGGCGCGACTTGTAGAAAAGTTGTAGGGCAATAATCTTGAAGAAATCATTTAGAACAACAAATAAGACAACACGAATAACAAGTACAATGTCTGATATACGATTACGTTGTATGCACTCAATATTCTGGTAATTTGCTTGCATTAAATGCCTTCATTTGCTCTGTATGTAAGCACTAGTTATGTATCTCATCTCATTAAGATAAGCAAGTATTGGTAAATTAAAGGATTTGTTATCATAGATACGTATTATGCTGTGGGGCATATGTGAAATTGATTTGCAGTTTTTTTTTTTAATTTACTTGGCGCAGCATGTGAACTAGCAGCGTGTTTTAAAACTGTGATTAATGGCATTTCTGATGTAGGAAAACCCCGGCATACTGGATATAATATTTGTTATTCAAGTAATGAAATTATCTCACTTGCACGAAGTTATAGATTGTCTCACATAAATTGCTTCTTTAGAACGTTGTCGTACCATCTAATACAAATGTGTGATATAGTTATTGCGACTATGTGGTAGATCTGGCTACGTAAAGAACAATGTACATAGTATCCCGTGATTGACAGCTAACAAAGCAATAGTCGATCGCGTAATGTGAATGGTACTAGTAACACTGTTGCTAGCACAGCTAACATTATTGTCTCATTATATTACAGGGACTTTGCTAACAATAGAATACATAGGCTGCCTCTGCATTTATTCAGAAACAATTTGAATTTGAATACGCTGTAAGTAACTTGTTCATATTCATAAGTAGTAGTGCTTCACACACTACACTACACTACACTACACTACACTACACTACACTACACTACACTACACTACACTACACTACACTACACTACACTACACTACACTACATGACGTCATTGAATTTCGGTTTTGATTTTAAAAAAAAAAAAACAGAAAACTACAACTACGACTCTCCCAGCTGTACTTGAATATGTACATATGAGTAGCAGTTGAACCCTGAGATCGTTAGGATGCACCATACGTTCGAAGACGTCAATACTTTTCTGTGTCTATGCTAAATATGACCCGGTCGCTGCGTATCGTTAATCACAACATTGGGGATGTGTGCTCCATAGTTTTTTGTATCTGGTATATAGTTACAGATTGGTATCATTTCGCAATTGTGTCAGTATCTGTTCTTGTGTTTTCTGTCGGTTATTACCTAAATTTAGCAGTATGGTATTTGCATGTAAGAATAAGGATAGGGAAAGCAAGGAGAGCATTCCATCAGCTAAATAACATATGGCGATCTACAAAACTACCAAGGAACATTAAAATACGCATCTTCAACACAGTTGTCAAGCCGGTCCTCCTATATGGTGCAGAAACATGGAGAATTACTGTTGCCATTATTAGGAAAATACAGACCTTCATCAATACTTGTCTTAGGCGTATCCTCAGAATTTTCTGGCCTGAGGTAATTAGTAACCAAGACTTGTGGGAGATTGCTCATCGGCAACCCATTGAGGCAGAGCTCTTGTAGAGACGATGGCGGTGGATTGGCCACACCCTACGGAAACCAATGCCTAATATTACTAGACAGGCATTGACTTGGAATCCTCAAGGAAAAAGGAAGAGGGGAAGGCCTCGTAACTCATGGCGCAGAGACATGGAGGCAGATGTTAAGAAGATGGGCCGCACATGGAAAGAACTGGAGACGCTGGCTCAGGACCGCTCTGCCTGGAGGAACCTGGTTGACGGCCTATGTTTCTTTTTTTCCCAAAGTAAACTTTCTATGTTTGCAACTTTTATTCGGTTTTTGCTCAGCCTAATGAAATCGTGACTCAACTGACCAGTTGCCTGAACGTGTCATTAAATACTTTTTTTTTATTTAAGTTAATTTTATTTCTTTTCAAAATAACAATTACACAGACAGAAAATAAGAAGAAAGAAAACAAATTAAATACTTCTTTGGTATATCTTAGCATGCATTGCTTGCTACACACTTCAGTTCAATATTACAAAACGGTCACCGATTTGTGACTAATAGTTTGAATAACAATAATAATAATAATAAGCATTTCAACGCAATGTTTCACGATTTTGTTCAAAATGTTTAATATGCATTAGTCTCCGCACTAATTGTTCATGCATACTTTGACTTATTGGTGATTCAATAAGCACCTCATTTAGCTAGAAAATCATTGTATATAAACATGGCCTACAGTTGTGCTTTGGCTGATTTCTCTCCAGCATTACATATAGTTCACCCAAATACTTTTTTATGATTGTGCCTTGTTTTCAGTTTCCTGGCATGATTTAGTCAAAGCTGTCTCGGGAACACATTGTTTATCTGAATTACAGGTTTTTATGACGTAAATTCATTTAAACAAAAAGCCCCCAACTTTTATTACACGTGTCTAATTATAATGTAGGTGATTTATAACAATAATAATAAGTGATAACTTGGAGAAGGGCGTAGACGTGGTGATGCCTCGCACATTATCTCTCCGTGCACTCTTCTTATTTAATATTACACCTTGGAAAATCCATTAATGTTTAAATAACCAATACAGAACCATATACAGCAACTTGTTAGTTTGTTTTTTCTAAGGCTCCATTATTTATTATTTGTAGAAATTTTGCAGGTGTTGAAATTGCTAATATAGATGCTCGTATGTTTAGCCATTTGTCGCAGTTGAAACACGTGTGAGTATCAATAATACAATAACTTTTGAAATGTGTTTAATATGGGGGTTGTCTCAGAGATATTAAAAGTATGCACAGCGAGACTACTAGCAATGCACGAGTCTCGACCATCGCGGAAGTCGATGAATTAGTATCGTATTGTTATTGTTATACATATTCCCGGTCCACCCGCTTGATGTGGCAAGACCAGTACTGAGAAAGCTGTAACTTCTTATACTTCTCATTGCGTTTCGTGTGAATACTGTATCTATACGTTAGTATACCAGTCGTATAAAATATCATCTTCAATGTCAACCGGATCCAGAACTCTCCTAAAATATAATTCATTGGCATTTGTCAGACCCCTCATAAAATGATCTCGAAAATTCGTCCTTAACTTTTTAAGTTATCTGAATAATCGTTGAAAGTATTCCCGTTTCTATGGCAATGACACCCAAATCTCTTCCAACTAACCGAGTAGTCGACAGGCAGGCAAACCAGCCAGCCAAACTGCAAAAACAAGAAAGAATACATGCCAAATGTGTGATTGTATGGTCTGATATATAAATTTGAAGATAATTAACAGTATTTCTTCTTCCAGGCATTTCTACAAGTTTCATTACTGTACTTACGCTAACCACGTGTTCGATTGCTCTCCAAAATCTGACGGAATTTCGTCTCTAGAGAACCTTCTAGCCAATGAAGTTCTGCGTTATTATATATGGGTCGTGGCATTTGCGACAATTATTGGTAATCTGGCCGTGATCTTCGGACGTACCTGTGTTATGACGACGGAGAACAAAGTCCACTCTTTGCTCATTCAGCATTTATGTGGTGAGAACTGTTTCCTACCCCACGCGCTTTTAAGAGCTCATTTTGCTGCCGAGCTTATTATACATGCAAAAACGAAAAAACATGCACTAACATTCCTATCTGCTAAAACGAGTTGGTAGTACACTTAGTAAGGCACAGCTGACAGTTCATAAATCAGAACATCGTTAAATGAACAATGTGATCTATACTGGGAAGTTGTACATACGGACAATTTGCAATATTGGGGCAATAGAAAGCTTTTACCCTGGTATGTGTAAAGAATCATACTAGCCACGCGTTGTTCGACAAGATCCCGCGCGACATGCACAACGCGTGGAATTCGAACTCGCGCTGCACAAAAACCACCGCCTTCAAAAAGTGTGATTCTGTTCAATAATTTGTATCCTTCCTTCATTTTCAGCTGCTGATTTATTAATGGGTGCTTATCTGATAATCATTGGGTCGCATGATCTGTTTTATCGTGACAAATTTTACCAGCATTCCCATGAGTGGATGACCAGTTGGATTTGTAGTCTAAGTGGTGTACTCTCCATGTTGTCTTCGGAAGCTTCCCTTTTTTTCCTCACCGCCATTTCCGTGCAGCGGTTCTTATGCATCACAATGCCACAACGGACGATACAGATAACTTACCGTACTGGTGTCGTGTACATGGCGGTCATCTGGATCAGCGCTACCGCGTTGGCTGTCTTTCCCTTGATGTTGCCATCGTGGCCTCACTTTTATGGTCAAAACGGAGCATGTTTCCCGTTGCTGATTGTGAAGCCTTTCGGATCTGGTTGGCAGTATCAAGTGTTTATCTTTCTTGGTGTGAACTTTGTCTGTTTTGTCTTCATTATCGGCGCTTATATCGGTAAGTATTATTTATAGATCTAATAATACAATATGCATTGCTGCTCGTCGTGCTAATGACATGTACATTCGTTTGATATCGTTGGGGTATAACATGAATCGAACCTATGACTTGCGTAATCGGGCAACATAACACGTGTACCTGAAACACGAACATCGTCTATTGGTCTGAGGATGTCAGCACTTCTCGCATGTATAGTCTATTACAGTTTCTGTAATTTTTTAAAGAATCTTCTATTTCTATAAACCTCTTTTTTTATAAATATTCAAAATACCAAGAAATAGTCATGATATATATATATATATATGTGTGTGTGTGTGTGTGTGTGTGTGTGTGTGTGTGTGTGTGTGTGTATTTTAATATAGCGAAGATATCTTCACCGTAAGAACCATTCATAAAACTGTTCTAAACTATATTTTAACTGAATAACCGTTTTTTCTATAGCTTTGTTTTCAGTTGTAATCCAGAATGTATAAATAGTCTACAACACTTAGTCGAAAACCCTTTTGATTTTTAGTAACTTGGCTGAAACTTGTTCATTAACAATATATCATTGTGTCGCCAACCAACGTTCTAATACTGACAAACTTTCAGCATTCACCAAAATACATAAATGTATCGAAAGATGACAAAATATTTTCAAGTTAATAGTGGATATATTCTTTTTATTCACAAGTAAGTTTATACTAAAACATTCAACTAAAACTAGTCACGTAATTTGGTTCACAATGGTCCTCGATATAATGTCGAAACACTTTTCCCACAATTGTTTTCTTTCTTTTTTTTATTTTGTAGGTATGTTTTGGAGTATACGACGCACACGAAAGGCAGTTAATAAAGATTTTACTTATCAACGAGAGGGAGATATGAACTTTGCGAAACGTTTTCTGTTTATCATAATTACTAACACGTTATGTTGGGTGCCAATAATGATACTGACTGCAATAGTTTTAGCCGATGTTGACATTACAGGTACGTCAAATGCAGCGTACCAGGTTACTTACTACAAGTAATACCTGGGCAGAGCGAAACGACTACTCTGTGTAGTCGCCAAGAGGCGAATCTACAACGGTCGTTGAGGCGTCTAGGAAAGTGTCTGGGGATGTTGCAAAGTCCCTTGGTAATTACCTAGCGGGTGCGGGAGATAGGTGTATGTAAATATCTTGCGCTCGCTGTAACATAATCTAACTTTCTTTTCAATAAAGTAAGTGAAAATGAAATGTAAAGATCCACGCATAAAAGTGTTTGGCATGCTCATTATGTCGGTTCCCAATCCAATTAGCATCATTGGGATACCAGCTAATTGCTGTGAATATTTCAACATCCATATTGTGAAATAGTTTGTGCATAATTACAGTTAATACATGGTGATCTACAACCAAAAATGTTGAATACTATTTGGATTGATGGTAAATAAATATGCCTGCGCGCACCAGTATGTACAAAATAGACACCCTTGTTCCGCTGTCACGAGTTTTCAGCTTTGTGATCTTAAAGATGCCAATGAATGGGGTCGTATTTCTCAAACACCCGGGGCAGTTTAGTCTCGTGTTGATTGTACTAGTCACGTTTATGTATTTTATCAAATGTACTGCATACTAGCTTAAAGATCTAAAGTCATGGCAAATGTTATTGTTTTATATGATAGTTTGTAGAATCACCCGCGACCACGATTTAAGAAGATAAATTTTTTTATAAAATTGCCACGACTGGGCCATTCTAGACACGAGTCCCCTGATGCATATACAACGCAATTTGAACGTGCGCAACTATGATGCTTTAATTTTCCAATTTCTGTATTGTGTGTGCGTCAATTATCATTCAGAAAAAAAAACTTAATGTTTTATCTTATTGACGCAGGTGAAGTTTATGCTTGGTTTACCGTGCTAGTTGTCCCGGTAAATAGTGCTATCGACCCAGCGCTCTACACATTGACGACAGTTCAATGCAGACAAGGTTGGAAATCAGTTATGACAAAGAAACTGCGACACCGTATATTCTACAGTACGAAAAAGCCACCCAGGGGTGAGTTTTACTGTATGTTGTATATTTCTCAGAAAATATTTCATGGGACGTTGAATAATTATTATTCAAATATTATTATAATTATTAATGTTTTTGTAGGACGGAGGCCGATGTCAACTCGAGTATCAAACGTGTCAACGACATTAATGGTTGGGCCACCTTGATTGTTTCCAAAAACAGAAATATACTTCTTGTTGGAAACTTGTTTAGACTCATAGCAGTTCTCACAAGCATTACATCAATGGCCAAAACATTTCCATCGTGGTCCGGATTGAAGAAAAAAATCGTTTCCGAGTCAGTTATATGGATAAATCAACGTTCAATCATATGACAGCTTTCAAGGATTGCAGTATCGTGTCACGTGATACAGTCCAAAGCTGCTAATCGCGTTTTTAATTTCGTGTGTGTTAGTTGAATGCTTTTTATCTACTTTCGCTTAGTGTTTTTTTTTTTCTCAGAAATATCATATCGTTTCATTTGTCATTTAAATTTGTTCTTTTAATTTGACTTTTGTTTTCTGTATTTAAATTAGTTCATGATTTGAAACGTGACGTCTATGTATACTTTAGTTCTTTGGTGTTTGAATTATCTCAAGGTCTGTCTATATTGTTATTTTTTGAAAGGCTTGTTTGCTACAAAGAAGTGACGAAATATGGGTATAATGTATCTGTGTTTTTGTATTAATGTACTATAATAAGTAACATTCCAAGAGTTTAAAAATTTTAAAGTACATATGTATTATTTGAAATTGGAAAAATAATCAACTGAGTTATGTATTGTTTGTTATTGGAATATTTCGTCATTACATTCATTTACAGAATCGACACATTTTTTCTTAAAAGTAAAATTTTCAAAAACATTTTCATCTTCGCATTGTTTGTTATTGGAATATTTCGTCATTACATTCATTTACAGAATCGACACATTTTTTCTTAAAAGTAAAATTTTCAAAAACATTTTCATCTTCGCATTGTTTGTTATTGGAATATTTCGTCATTACATTCATTTACAGAATCGACACATTTTTTCTTAAAAGTAAAATTTTCAAAAACATTTTCATCTTCGCATTGTTTGTTATTGGAATATTTCGTCATTACATTCATTTACAGAATCGACACATTTTTTCTTAAAAGTAAAATTTTCAAAAACATTTTCATCTTCGCATTGTTTGTTATTGGAATATTTCGTCATTACATTCATTTACAGAATCGACACATTTTTTCTTAAAAGTAAAATTTTCAAAAACATTTTCATCTTCGCATTGTTTGTTATTGGAATATTTCGTCATTACATTCATTTACAGAATCGACACATTTTTTCTTAAAAGTAAAATTTTCAAAAATATTTTCATCTTCGCATTGTTTGTTATTGGAATATTTCGTCATTACATTCATTTACAGAATCGACACATTTTTTCTTAAAAGTAAAATTTTCAAAAACATTTTCATCTTCGCATTTTATCTTTTATATGTTTTTAGTCGGACAATGTCTTGTATTGTATATTTATTCCTGTTGTGGTTTTCAAGTTGTAATAACTATTACATTGACGTTTATATATTTTTAGATTGAAGGTGATAAGGTTTTCCACCCAGTCACCATAACTGGATTTATTGATTATAACAATTCTTTATATTTTACTTTAATTGTACATTTATAATCGATATTACTATAAATAATTTTAAATTGCTTGTTCATAATTATTAAATGTAAGAATTTGGAAGATGACAGTTATTTATGGTGTGTTGTTTTGTACTATAATTTTCTTTTAATTTTTTTATAATGTCACGTGTTGTATATGCACGTGTCACGTGGTCGATTTTGTTTGACAAGTTGGCCAGCCAATAACTATGGGGAGTCACAGGATCTATGAACACGAGTTATCACAATCATATTTATCGAATTTGTACCGTTTCATGGTATTGTCATAAAATGTGAAAGGTACTCATAAATTGCGCATTTTATTTATTTGCAACTGTCCCAGCATGCAATAAGTACAACCGAACGATACATGTAAAATAAATTCTAAAAATAACACAGCTCCTTACATAGCCTAGACAAGAAAGATCCTAGTGAAATGAGTTGAACAATTTGTTTTGTTTTTTAAATAATTAGGTCTAGACTATGTCTACGAAATTCAACTTTGAAGTGTAGGAGTGCTGTAATAAACTGATGTACATATTAGAATAGAAGGGTATTTGAAATTGTAGCATAAATATTTGACAAATTTACATGTTCAAGTTTAGCTATGACACATTTCTTTGACGGTGGTCGGACATGAGAGTAGTACTGCTGGTTAGTGGGCACAATAGAAAAGTACTGTGATTTCAAAACTCCAACATCGTACGCTTAAGACGTTGAGATAGTTTTGATGCACATAGTTACAAATTATTATCTATGTTTTATGCTTACATGAAATGTTATGGACCACGTTTCAATTCAATTTGAGATGGCATTCACTTTTAACAAAATAAAGGTGGTTGCCATGGTAATTACAATGTTTATGTCATATCAAAGATATTGCAATTCATAGGGTTGATGACATGGCAATTGTTATCACCTGGATACAAATCTCATAGTTTTCCGCACTTACCAACAAATCTGACTAGTCTGTATTACCAACAACAACACAACAACAACACAATTTTAATTGAACTTATTGCCACAAAAATTAACAAGTCTGACAGAGGCCCCTCAAGTCATATACATACCAAGTACCAAAGTAATCTAGTTGATAGTTTTCGGGAAGTTGGAATCATTCATTGAAAATAGGAAATAATCTTGTGAAATAATAAAATCTAATAGGTCTATTGTTCACTGAAAAAATAGAGAATTGAAGATATTAATAATACAAAATCCGATAAATCTGACAGAGATCCATCGAAGTACTTACAAACCAGGAATCAAAACAACTAGAGTTGTGGTTTTCCAAGAATTCGTTGAATATCAAAAGCTGACGACAGCGACTGACAACTATCTGATAAATAAGAGCATAATGTTACGTCACAATTGAACATTTCCACAGTTCCAGGCAAAAAGTTTTTTTCCAGCACGCGTACGACCTGCCAAAATGCAGTATATTTTTTTGCATGCATCTATCTATTATGCAGATCAAAGGGGAAATAACCCAATTACAATGAATGGGGTAAGTTTCAGACATCCGGTGGTGATCTGTTTTTACGTGCACATGTTTACGCTCCCTCCAACTATGCCCAACCCCAATCAAATCATTCCATACAATTTCCGTCACAAACAAAATATAGGTACGATTCATTCTGGATACGCGTGTGGTAGTTTGCACATGCGCCAACCTGTCAAATCGTAAGAGTCGCGGAAATTTTCTAATGGTAATTTTTACGAAAAGAAGTCAATTTACCAAGAATTACGAGACGTATATCCACTTTTTACACTTTACAAATCTATTGGACTCGTTGCGAGGGGATTGAATGCATTCAAAATTAGTGTTCAATACATGCTAATCTAACTTTCTTGTGCTCACTCCCTTTAGATATTTATACTGAACTAAGATCCTAGTAGCAACATTTTGATCGTTTTTATTATTTCTAAGAAATATTGTGACATAAAACGGTACTGGATCAATCCCGATTTATCCCGATGATAATTCTAACATCCATAATAATATTTACTAGAAGGACCATAAAAAAATATAAAATTACTCGTACAACTAAATCGTTCAGCTTAGCAGTGGGGTGTGGCCTCATGATATACCAAAACTTGCTGTACCTTGAAATATTTATAAATGTTAAATATTTGTATAATAAAGTGTTGCAATAATTATTCCATGTGTATTTGTTATCAACGGGGATAGGGTGTTTCTGACTATGCACGTCTAGTAAGTCATTTCTCACTTGTGAAAACTTTGTAGGAGTACAGTGGAGAACATGTTAAAGTGAGTTTAATCAATTTTATTAAGGTAGCAACAAAGTTAAAAATTGTTCTGTGATTAAGTTTTAAGCATGCTAATAGAACCACCTATACGCAATTCAAACACGTTTACCTCAATGCAACTGAAAAGTTCTTGGCTCGTTTCTTAATATGAAACTTGCGTTGCCTGCAAATGCTTTTTAGAATTGAATACCATGCATACTAAGTATATCGTTTAAATATATTAAATAATTTATAGTGCAGATATCTCTAGTACCACTCAAATTTAAATGAAACTTGGTACATATATGCTTTCGAAAGATCTCGTAACTTTAATTTTGAAACAGTGCATATTAATTACCTAATTTGCATATTAAGTTTGACAATTTTCTGATATTGTAATTACCAGATTCAAATTAAGCTTGATAGTATTACAAACTTCTAAACTGCAAAGGCAAACCCCTCTCAAATAGTGCATCTCAGGATCAGAGCTACATTAGCCGACAGGCATCCAAGTTTATGAAACTAATATTAAACCGGTAATTCATTTTAAATATTGCCTATTTGTAATCAAATACCCTTAGTACGCTGGAGTTGTTTCCAATGTTTCTTTGATTTTTATAACATTATTTTGATGATTACCCGGTTAGGAAGATATGCGAGCTATTACTACGAGAAGAAAACATAAAATAGCAAATATGCGCATGTAAGTGGGTTAGTTTACTCATAGTTGGTCTAATTATTTGATTTCAATGGAGATATAACAACAGTCAGAGACATAATATCGACATTTATAATTGCACATGTTTTTGGAGGCGACTATGTATTTTGACTGATTGAGTCGTACTGTTGAAAAACAACTGTCGATAGATGATGCACACTTAGTCTATGGGATTACATTGAGTCAGAATTGCATCAAAAACTTGTTAATGAAATCGTGAAGACTGTCCATGGTTTGTTCAGTCCTCTGAGAGTGCCACAGATTAGCGTGTATGCCTCGCATCAATATAGGTGTTAGTTTAAATCTCGCTGCGTTTCGCAATCAGAGTGTCTACAGCAAGTATGATAATTATGTTTGATATCCAAATATATAATTAGTTTGAAATTTTGAATTGAGTAGCTGAGACAAATTTAGAGAAATAGAATACGATTTATGCAAACTTAGTCCGCGACTCAACATTATATAACATTTATAGCAGCAACTTTTTGGGTGTCGAAATTAGAAGAATCAAACGCCAAACTATTATTGAAAACTATGATCAAAACATGTGTGATGTATTTG